TGCGTGCTGTTTCTGCTGGCAGGATGCAATTTTGAAGCGAACTTGCGCGGCTTAAGCAAGCTGGGCGAGCGGCTGACGAAGCAGCGCAAAACACTGACTTTGTTATGTGTGAAGGATTGTCGATGGTGTCTTAATGCATGCCTGGGAAGGTCTCCTCATGTGTGAGCCAGCATGGTTCGTGTGAAAACCTAGAAACGAGAGAGGGCAGACATGACTTTGCATTCCGTTGTTGCTGTTGTTGTTGAGCATATATCTTAAGCACGCCAAGTCAGCCCTTTTAGGGCGATTCCGGCTCAGCATAGTATACCTTAAACACGCCCCCTCATGTGGCGATTCCAGTTCATCATATATCGACCAATGGGTCGGGGACCAAAGGACCAGCGGACCAGAAGACTAGCAAACCTAGGCCAAACCTACCAAGGCCCCAAACACGAGCCAAAGGTAGCCCCAACCACCCCAAACTCACAAAGAACAACCCCTATAAGCCCTAAACCCTCCAGGTACCTACTATATAGGGCCCTAGGGGCTCTAGTACCCTCTATAGTAGGTACCTGGGGGGTTAGGGAACACCCCGTGATGGCTAGACAAGTTCAAGATCGCCTCAAGGTCGTCCGATGCACCTGAATCCGAAGCTGAGCCCCGGTTTAGGATTTAGCGTTTTGGGCTAAGGGTATAGGGTTGAGGGCTGAGGGCTTAGGATTTAGCGTTTAGGGCTTAGTTTAGGGTTTAGGGTTTGGGTTTATTAGGCGTAGCGTCCCGGTTTTCAATGGCCACGTGTTCATAGTTCTGGGGCACAGGGCGGCTCGAGCTTACAGCTCGTAAGACTGATCGAAGCTAGGTTCCCCGGTAATGTAGGGGCCTTGACAATTAGAAGAGGGTTTTAGCGCCCATTTTACTATGAATACACTAAAGAGCCCCCGAAATAGTACTGGTAATTATCTAGGCCCCTACCTTAGCCCTTCATACGGGTACCCTTTCTCCCACTGTTCGGTGTCAAGGGGGGAACCCGAAAATCAAAGGGCAGATGGGTTTAGGGCTAGGGTTTAGGGCTTGGGGTTCAGGGTTTAGGGTTTAGGGCTTAGGGTTTAGGGCTTAGGGTGTAGGGTTTAGCGCTTAGGGCTTAGCGTTTATAAAGTCTTGGAGCTTCTGGGTAGAAGAACAGCACGAGGCGAAAGAAAAACAGAGACAAAGGCAGACGCAAGAAAAAGCAGCTACAGACATGCATCACAACAAGACGTGCCTTCGAGCAAAGCCCCCCCACGTTAACCCATGTGCCTGATGTGTCTTTCGAATTTGTCTGAACTGGTCTTCTGCTTATGCATGGGAACCGTGGCATGCTGATGAAGTAAAAAGTCGCACACACTCGCATGCAGATGATCATGTGCATGCTTTCGCCGTTGTTTACGGTGCAAACAGAATGACAGAGAATGCTGCACAATTTCAGACGTGCGACATTTCGCAGCTTCAAGCTTAACCCATGTGTGCATAAAGCTTTTACCTACCTTGGAATCTCAGGTCTTGGGGTCTTGATACTTTACGGTTCACGGTGTGAGGGTCTTAAGTCTGCCCGAACCCCGCAGACCCAACATTGGCAGAAGGTAAGGGTACCACTGGGGAGACCAAGGATACATTAATATAGGGGCCTGCATAATTACAATAGGGTTTTGGCGCCCACTACACTGTAATCATAAGAAGGAACCCCCAAAAAAAAGGATTAGTAATTATATGGGCCCCAATATTGTCCTCACTTTCTGCCCGAGTGGACCGCGTGGGGCTATCAATCTTGCGCTGTGTTATGCTTGCTTGGCACGACCTGGGGTCTAAAGTAAACCCTGAACCCTAAACCCTAGATCCTGAACCCTAAACCCTAAATCCTGAACCCTTAACCACAAGCCCTAAAATCCAAACCCACAGCCCTCGAGCCTAAATTACTAGATCTTGAATCCCTAAATCCTACACCCCTCAGTTCTGAAACCCCAAAACCCTTGACCTCTACACCCAAAACCCTAACCCCCTAGTGTTCAGGGTTTAGAGAAAAACCCTAAACCCAGAACCGTTTCATGGAACGCAGCGGGCAACATCGGTGGGTTGACAGGGCATGATGTCGCATGCCCTCACGGCATGTCACGCAGATGCGCTGAGAAAATGGCAACAAGCACACCTCGATGGCAATGTGGTCCTCGTTGGCAGGAAGGGGCGACACAGCCGAGACAAGCAAAGCAAAAGTATGCCAGAGCCTGCTGAAAGAAGGCGTCTAAAAGCCGCCCCAGCCTAGGCGTGAGCTGAGCGGGACTGTGTGGCGGATTCCGTCGTCGTCTCCCCAGCGCGTAAACACGATCTAGCAGGCATCCGATATCACAACTTCCTGAAGTCACCGCATGCCCACTGTCGCGAGGCCTGGAGGGTTCCATTTTGCTGAAGAAAGCCCGTTCAAGACCGTCCCCAGAGACTCCAATATCCCTTAATTAAGGAATATACCTTACATTATACTGGGATCCCTAATATGATTTAAAGCATATTCCTGAATTAAGGGATATTGGAGTCTCTGGGTCTGGGATTGTCTTCAGCTCAAGATGATTTCGGTCAGGTTTTCTCAGCACGGAAAGGGTCGGCTGAGCTGAGCCACAGAACCCTTTCATGGAACGCTTTTCGCACCCTACAAAGGAACCCCTAAACGCTGAACCCTACCTTCGGCTGTAGTATGCGCGCTTGCCACTGGACTGAGCCCCTCGTGGTTCCCTAAACCTCGAAGCCCCTAAACCCCTAAACATAGTTTTAAGATACCAAAACTCGAGGTTCCTTTAAGGGTTCCATATGGGTTTGTAGAGTAAGGGGGTTTAACGTAAGACAGCAGACCCTAGGAGTCCTTTTAAGGATTTTATAGGGTTAGGGGACGTAAATTGTTAAGATACCATACTATGGACATATAACTATGTAATATAGCCTAAACCCTAAACCCTAAACCCTAAACCCTAAACAGCTTTGCATTGGGCAACTGCAGCCCTGAACCCTGAACCCTTGTAGAACCCCAAAGTAGGGTTGCTTAAGTTCAAGTCAAACCCTAAAACCCAAAACCCTAAAACCCTAAACCTAAAGTCCTCAAACGAGTAATCCCTAAAACCCGAAGCCCTGAAACCCTAAAGTCCTTAAACAGGTAATCCCTAAAACCTTAAACCCTAAAACCCTAAGCCTGACGTCCTTAAACCCTAAGTCCTAAACCCTAAAGTCCCTAAACAAGAACCCTAAAACCCTAAACCCTAAACCCTAAAACCCTGAAAACCTAAACCCTAAAACCCTAAACCCTAAAACCCTGAGCCTGAAGTCCTCAAACAAGTAGTCCCTAAAACCTAAAGTCCTTAAACAAGAACCGTAAAACCCTTAACAAGAAATCTCTAGAACCCTAAACGCCTAAAAGCCCTTAAACAAGAACCCTAAAATCCTAAACCCTAAAACCCTAAACCCTAAAACCCTAAAAGCCCTTAAAGAACCCAGGCCGTTGAGCCCCGCACCCTCCTCCAGGGCATCCCCCGTCCTGACAGGGCTTCTGTTCCCTGCTGGGGCTCTATTCGAAATGGTCACCTTCAATCCTTATTGGGTTTTAGTATAACCCTAAACCCTAAATCCTAAACCCCAAACCCCTAAACCCTAAACCCTAAACCCAGAAATGATCATTTTAAGTCCTTCTTGGGTGTTATTATAACCCTAAACCCTAACCCGTAAACCCAAGAATGATCATTTTCAATCCTCATTGGGTTTTAGCATAACGAGCATGTAAAATTGTATCCAACAAGGACCCAGGTTGGGGGTTCCTTTCGTTCGGGCACACTTCGTAAGGGTTCCTTTAAGGGGTTCGATCCGGTTTTTATGCTGTTCAAGGGCTGAAGGATAAGGTTTAGGGTTTAAGGACTAGGGTCTAGGGCTTTCGGGGCTAGTGTTTGGTGCTGAACGCTTCGGGTTTCGGGCTTAGGGTTTGTGGTTTAGAGTGTTTGGGGGTTTAGGGTTTGGGGTTTAAGGCTTAGGAATTGGGGCACCCCTAAACCCTAAACGAGCGTAAAGCTCGGGAGTTCGGGCAGCCGGGTCCTATGTCAGCGTTTATACTTCCCAGGGCCTCGCTGGCATGTACCATGGCTATTGAAGGGTTTCGGGTTTGGGGTAGGTGAGCATTTCAGAAAACAGGCAAAGACTCAAAACAGGATCCCTGATATCCGGACATCGAATAGGGCGTAGGGGATCCGAAAATCTCCTATTTCGGTGGGATGCCTTTGCAGCAGGTTCTTGCTTTGTGAGGCCCGGCAGGTTCTCGAGGCTTGACTAAACAGTACCCGGACTCTCCCTAAACCCCAAACCCTAAACCCTAAACCCTAAACCCGAAGCAGCAGGATTCACGGTTCCCTGAACCCTACCTGTAGCCGAAAAGACCTAGCTCCTTATTCTGGTTTCCTCTTTGTAAGTTCTTAAAACCCTAAACCCTAAACCCTTCCTTTTTTAGGGTTCTTTATTCTGCTTTCCTTTTGTAAGTTTTTAAAACCCTAAACCCTAAACCCTAAACCCTACCTGTTTAGGGCTCTTTATTCTGCTTTCCTTTTTCAAAGTTCTTAAAACTCTAAACCCCAAACCCTAAACCCTACCTGTTTAGGGTTCTTTCCTTTTTGCAAGTTCTTAAAACGATAAGTTATCTACGGCCCAGGTAGACCCTACACCCGCAGGTCGCAGCCCCTGTCCGGTGGAGGAGAAGCTTGTGGCTTTCTGCCCTTTTAGGGTTTAGGGGCTTAGGGTTTAGGGGTTTAGGGTTTTAGGGTTTTAGGGTTTTAGGGGTTTAGGGGTTTAGGGGTTTAGGGGTCTAGGGGTTTAGGGGTTTAGGGTTTAGGGTTTTATCTACAGCTCAACA